AGCAGAGGGCTGGCCTGGAAGGGGGGCAACCGGGACAGAATCCGGCGCCCCGACCGGGACTAGAACCCGGTGTGCCGGCGCCGCTAGGCGGAGGATTAGCCTAGTGAGCCGCGGCGCCGGCCTCTTCCATGGATTTTTTTTCAGATACCTTATACTTTACTAAATTGGATTTTGTTGAAGAGTAGAGTTAGTGCTTTATTTACTGATGCTTTTAATTTTTATTGTTGTTACCTTTTTGTAAAAACATTCCCATCCTTTGTATTTTTTAATCATTAAAATGTATTCTTAGAGCAGTTTTAGGTTCATAGAAAAATTGAAGAGTTTCTATGTATCTTCTGTCACCATATATGTCCAACCGCCCATATTATCAACATTTACATTTATATTATGAATTTTTCAAAATCAAAATGACTTAAAAAGTTCAATACATACTCATTGTTATAATTCATAAAATATGAAAAAGGGAGACCAGTGTTGTGGTAAAGCAGAGTAAGCCACTGTTTGGATACTGACATGCTGTATTAGGCCAACAATATGAGTCCTGACTGTTCCACTTCTGATCCAGCACCCCGCTAATGTCCCTGCAAAAGCAATGAATGATGACCCAGGTACTTGGGCCCCTGACACCCACTTGGGAGACCAGGTTGGAGTTCCTGGCTCCTGGCTTCAACCTGGCCCATGCTAGCTTTTGCGGCCATTTGAAGAGTGAACCAATGTATGGAAAGAGTCTTTCCCTCTCTCTCTCTATCTCGCTCTCGTGCTCACTCTCGCCATTCTTCTCTAATGCTCTAACTTTTAAATAATAAGTAAATAAATATCTTTTAAAAACATGGGAAATGATGAATAAAGAAAAGGAAAAACATTCCTAATCCTGAACACTCAGAAATAATTAATATTTGGTATACTTGTCAAAATATTTTTAATTATAAGATGGAATCACATTATATGTGTTGATTTTTAATATTTTTTCTTTCTTAACAACGTATCATATTTTAGGTCAATAGTAACACTAATAAATAGCCACATTATCTGGATAGCATCTTGATCTTCCATTGTAAAAGTAATATAACTGATCTGTTGATAGATATCTGGATAAGTTTCCAGGCAAGGTTTTTCTTTTCCTAGAAAAAATGCCATAATGAGTATTCTCACACAGCTACAAGATTTTTTTCATTCCCACACAGCTATGAGACTTTTTTCAAATACATGATTTTTATTTGTAAAATTATTATATTTTTATACTATAAAATTTATTTTTGTGTGATTTTTCTTTTTAAAAGTGCATTTTTCTTAAAAAGTACTGAGAATAGTTAGGTATTCTGTATTTTATGCTAATCTGCTTTAAAGATATATTGTCTTATTTTAAATTTTTATTATTGCCTGATATGATAAGGAGATAGTAATTTTAGAAGGAGCATTAAATGTAAAGTGTATTATAGCGCCCTCTAATTTATTTACGTTGTGATTTTTCAAAGGAGAAACATAAATCATTATTAAATCATTAGCAATAATTGTGCCTTGGATAAACCTCTTTGGCTACAATACTTCCACTGCATAAAGCTGGACTATTTCAAATATGGGTAGTTTCTTACCAAGAGAAGCAAATATAGATTGAGCAGTTGATCTGAACTTAAAAGTAAAATGATCTATGCCCTCATATATAATCTAGTAAGATAAGACACAAAGCACAATTCAAAACAAAAATAAGTATTTTTTAAAGATTTATTTATTTATTATTTGAAAGATAGAGTTACAGAGAGGCAGAAAGAGAGAGAGAGAGAGAGAGAAGTCTTCCATCCACTGGTTCACTTCCCAAATGGCTACAATGGCCAGAGCTGGGCCAATCTGAAGCCAGAAGTCTATAGCAGTGAATTGGAACCCTTTTGTGTGTTGTTTGCAACTTTGAGAAACATCTTTTTATCTTTAAGCTCTGAGATCTTTATTATAATATGTCTTTGGATAGACTTGGTTGAATTGAATCTGAGCTTTTGACCTTCCTATACCCGAATAATTGTATCTTTCCCTAGGACTGGGAACTTTCTGCTATTATCTCTTTGGATATGTTTCTGTCTCTTTGACATTCTCAAGTTCCTTTGAACCCCAATAATTCAGATATTTGCTCTTTTCATGATGTCCCAAAGTTTCCATATGCTTTTCTTTATTTCTCTTAATTGCTTTTACCTTTTTCTCCTCCATCTGTGTGTTTTCATGTAGTCTGTCTTCAAGTTCATTGATTATTTTATTTCACCTACTCTGCTATTGATGCCCTCTATCACAATTTTAAATGTCATTCGTTTGAGAGGTAGACAGAGCAAGAGCAAGAGACAGACAGATGGAGATAGAGAGTTTCCATCCTCTGGCTCACTCACCAAATGTCTGCAACTTCTGGGGCTGGGCTAAGGATGAAGCTGGGAACCAGGAACTCAGTCTTCCAACATGGGTGGCAGGGATCCAGCTATTTGAGCCATCACCTGTGTCTTCTCAGAATCCAGGTTAGCAGGGAGCTGGAATCAGGAATGGAGCTGATACTTGAACCCAGGCATTCTGATATGGGATGTAGGCATCCCAACATAATCAAACACCCACCCCACCTTTTAAATTTTATTGGTGTACTTTTCAGTTGAAAGTTTTCTTTTTATTTGTTTGAATTACTTCCATTTCTCTGTTACACTATTAAGTCATTTCTCTTGAAATTCATTTGAGTTTCCTTAAAACAGCTATTTTGGTTTTGGTTTTTATTTTTTTAATTACTCAAAAGTTTCATGTTTTTATTTAGCTTTCTGACTCTGTGCTTGTGCCTTCAACACTATCACAATGATTTTCTGCTCCTCAATAAGGAAAGTGCACTTGATCTGTCATGGACACATTTAGCACACATGGAACCACCACAGGCCCTGCTGACATGTTTTTTCATTTTAGACAGTCTCATCAGAACTTTAGGTCTCACAGCATGAACCCCACGAAGTCTTCCTGGGCAAACACCACATGCTAATTCTGGTACCTTCCCAATCTCTTAGTGTAAAGGTGAACAATTTTGCTACCAAGAGTTCGGGACTGTCTGGTTTTGTTGGAGGCTGTATTGTAGGCAAGCCTACAGCATTATGTCAAATGCTGGACCATTATGACCACCTCTAAGCACCGTCCCAGATGAGAAACAGCTATTTGGAAATTTCTATGTAAACATTTGAAAACTTTATTTCCTACATGGTTGGTTTCTGGTACTTTATTTTATTGGTTAGGTGTGGTTGCAGTTCCTTGGAAGTTCTTGACACTTGTTGGTGTATGATACAATTTGCACACTGAAGGATTAGTTATAATAATTAGCTTAATTTGTGGCTGTCCTTCTAGAAGTTCTAAGCAGTCTGCTAAGTTTGTCTGAGTCTACAGACATGCTATTTCAGCACTAGATAGTTCTCAAAGTTGAGATTTGCTTTGGGTCTGCTCTTGATGTTTATTCTCTCATTTCATGCCTACGATATTCCCCAAGATTAGATTTATGCCAAACTTCAGTTAATATATTATTTAGAATGAACTGGAGAAATGCCTAAAAAGGGATAATGCATTCCTAGGAGCCTCTCTTTATGGCTAAGGTCAACCCACGCTCCTAGTCCTTTGGTTACAAATGCCATGATGCTAGATCACGAGCCTACAGACACCAATGCAGTCTAAGGGTAAGCTGTAATCTGTCTGCTGAGGTGGACTCACAGCTTGACGCTGGTCCTACAAACAACTGTCATACTGGCTAGGGTGTAAGATTGATCAACTAGGGTCATGGAACTCCACTTGGTCTTAACACAGGTCCAGAGGCTCTGTTTGTAGGCGCTGGCCTGGGAAGAGGGGTCATTAGGCTCTACTCAATGTTGGGTTTTACCATCCTGATATTGAGTCCCAAAACAGTCCTGTGGTTTCTTGCTGTCTGAGTTTACAGTAGGAATAATTGAGGAAGCTCCTCAGCTAAACAGGCAGACACTCAGTGGGTCACACCTAGGTCTTACAGTCAACTGTAGGCACTGTGCAATCTTGGGTGTGCTCATAGGCCCAGACGAAGATAATGGTAACATACACCAAAGCAAGACCTTCCAACCAGAATACAGGTCCCCATCTGATACTGGGGCAAGTCCAGAAACTCAATTCATAGGCACTTGCCTGAGGATAGGGACTAGTAAGATCTGCCCAGTGTTGGTCTTTAACAGCCTTGCACTGAGTCCCAAGACACAGTCCTATAGTACTTTGCTGTCTGCTCAAGGTTGGAGGACAGTGATAAAGGTAGTCTCTTGGCCACCCAGACTGACACATACCTGGGTCTGTTAGTCAGTGGGCCCTACAGTGCCCCGGGGTTGGATAGAAGATCTGTGCACTGAAATAAGAGCACAGGTCTCTCCTGACACTGTAAAGGTCTAGAGTCTTTGTCCCAGAGCACAGGCCTTGGAGGTTGAGCGCTCTGGGCTTTATCTGGTGTGAACCCAGTTCTGTGCTCCAAGGTAACTTCTGGAGCTCCCTCTCCTGTGCTACTCTGCAGTAGCTGGAGTCTTGCTCAATTTTCTGGGCCCAGATAAGTTGATACATAAAATTAACCATCACGGAACTGTTAGATTTTAACTATATGTGCTTAAATTGGCTATGTTAACTAAAAAACTATTATAGAAATAAGGCCTTGAGTTGCTTTTTTAGCTCTCTGGTGACTAGACAGTAAGCACTCAGTAAATATTTGTTCAATGAGTGATAGTCTTTTTAAAAAGAGATTTAATCATTACCACTTTAGTCTTGTTCTTTAGAAAAGTCATTTCTGTCTGACACTTGAGTCCCTATAATTCATATATCCTTCTACTAGATTTTGCAATTTCTGGAAAAAAAAAGTTTATACTTTTTTACACTATTATATTTAAGCTTTATTACACTATTATACTTAGAGTTTAAGATAAGTTTAAGGTTATACAATAAAATATACTCTAATAATAAGAACCTTTTAACATCTGTTATTTCTGTGTTTTCATCTCTAGATCTACGAAAGCTCAACTCATTCAAGAAAAAAGGTATATTTATGACAAACTGGAAAAATTACAGAGAAGAAACGATGAATTGGAGGAGCAGTGTGTCCAGCATGGGACAGTACATGAAAGAATGAAGCAAAGGTAATAAAGAATTAATAATCAGCTGATGTTCTGTAGATTGCATGTGTTTACTTCATAAGCAGAGGAGGAATTGTTGTGGAATAAATGGAATTTATGATAATTCTGATAGTAACTTATACTTTGAAAAAGATTTATTTATTTGAAAAACAGTGAGAAAGAGAGAAAGAGAGAGAGAGAGAGAGAGAAGAGAGAGAAAGGTCTTCCTTCTACTGATTCACTTCGCAAATACCCACAAAGCTGGGGCTGGGCCAGGCTGATTCAGGAGCAGGAACTCCATCTGGGTCTCCCACATGAGTGGCAGGAACCCAAGCACTTGGGCCATCATCTGCTGCCTCCTAGGAGCATTAGCAGGATGCTTGATCAGAAGCAGAGACCGGACTGGATCCCAGACACTCCAACATGGGATGTAGGAGTCCCAAGCAGCAGCACAGCCTGCTCTACCACAACACCCTCCCCTTCTGATACTTTATTTATGTTTCCTTAATTTAGGTTGTTCTTTTTACGTACAGAGAGGAGAGCACATCCCTTACTATTCTCTAATGATATAAAATTGGGTAGAACAGTGGAAGAAAGCCATCCATCTTTATAGTACATGTTGATAATATTGTAATATGGAAGAATTTCATAACTTCCCTTCTAGAAATTAGGTTTTATGTGCTGTATGCAAGATAAAACTTGTAATAGGCTTAAAGAGGCTAAATGTCTTATCAGAAGTTGTACTGATAGTACTGGTAGAGTCAGTACTTGATCACAATCAAAAGTTGTTTCTTTCTAGCAGTGTTACTTTGAGTTAAGTCACTCAACCTCTCTGAGTGTCTGTTTCCTCACCCAAATATTGGTAATAATATCCACTTTGATATAACTATCAACTAAAGCAGCTGGCTCATGTTAGCCACATACTAAGTGTCAGCATTTATTACTCTCTTTTTCCTAGAGAAAGAAACTCCACTCAGAGAAACTGATGGATTTACTCAATGTGACAATGGAATAAAGGTGGAGTTTAAACTTCAGTCTTAATTTTGACTCCAAATTCTTTCTCCTTTTTATGCAGTATTGGATTTGTTTTTCTTTTTGTTTTTTTTTTTTTTTGGTAGTAAATACAATCCCTATATCTTTTATGAATATGCCATTTCTAATTTCTGTATAGTAGTGGATCTTCCAGGAATAAAAATCTGAGCATTTTATAGCCAACAATGAATGGTTTCTGTAGATTTGGACCTTAACGCAGCAATCACATGTATAACAGAAGCAGTGAACCTTCCAGTAAAAATGGTTTTCTTCACCTCAGACTTCCCATCCCCACCCTATTCCTTAGCTGCCCCATGCTGTCTCTGTTTCAAAACAGTTGTTGAATAATTGAGGGAAAATGAAAATGGTAGGGCCAATGTTGTGGCAGCAGGTTAAGCAGCTGCATGTCACATCATCATCTCATATCCAAGTGCTAGTTTGAGTCCTGGCTGCTCCGCTTCCAATCTAGCTTGATGCTATTGCACTTGGGAAAGCATCGGATAATGGCCCAAGTTCTTGGGTCCCTAATACTCATGTGGGAGACCCAGATTGAGTTCCTGGCTCTGGGATTTGTCCCAGCTCAGCCCTGGCTATTGTGGTCATTGTGGGGTGAACCAGTAGATGGAAATGTGCACTCTCTCACTCTCTCACTTTCCCTCTCTCTCTGACACTCTGCCTTTCAAATAAATAAATACATTTTTATAAATGAAAATGTGTATAGACTCCTTTTATTTTTTAAGACTGAAAGTAAATTTCTCCTCCTAGGGAGGGTGGAGATATTTTTACAACTTTTATTACTTGCTTCATTGAATAAGGGCAGTCAGAAAATAACACCACATTTCAGTTACCAAAATATTAAAATATGAGTATATTCATAAAGTAATAATCATTCATTCACACATTAAGATATTTACTAAACCCACATGTTGTTCTCAGCCAAGGCTCAGCATACATTTTCTATAGGTTTAGAAAGTAAATAGTTTTGACTTTGCAGACCTCACCTGTTAGACTTTTTTTGTTTTTTTTATTTTTACAACCCTTTAAAAAAGTGAAGACCACACTTAGGTGGAGGACCAAAACACAAGGGCGATAGTTTGCCTTGGGCCATAGTTTGCTTCCTGTACTAGGGAACCAAGGCATGATTTCTAGCATTTCATATTTCACCTTTGCATATTGCTTTAGAGTTTACAAAATACATTCATGCATGTTGTCTTATATACCTTGAGGCAAACCTGGAAACTAGCTATTGTTATCATTTCCGTTTCCATATGGAGAATTAACTCAAAAAGATAAACTTGCCAAGTGAAGCTAAGAGAGTAAAGTAAGGATTCATTCATCCAACAGATATTTATTGAAAATTGCTACTGTGTGTCATGTTCTGTGCTATATGCTGGCAATAAAATAGCCAAGTAGTTCCCACACTAGTGGAGGTTACATCCTAGTGGAGGTTACAGATGGCTACTGACAAAAGTATCTCACAAATGGCTGACTACAATAAGGATCAGTTCTATAAAAGAGAAACGCTTTGTGATACATTTAAGAAGGGAACTTCTGATCAGGGAAAACTTTAAGTCTGTAAACAATAAGGTAAGGAGTATTACCTTTCTGGAGCAGAAATGGACAAACACTGCCTTAGTCCACAACTCAGTTTTAATGGCCCAGAAACATAGTACTCCCCATTCATTTCTGTGTTATTTGTGGCTGCTTTTGTGCCACAAGGTCTAAGTTGTATAGCTGAGTCAGAGACTGTGACCTCTTGACTACAAAGCATGATGTTTTTACCATATGATCTGGTTCTAAAAAAGTTTGGTGACTCCTGTTCTAGAGAAACAAAACTAAAACTAAAAATCCTGGGATAGGATATATAAACTTTTGAGGAAGAGAAAAAAGTGTGTTTGTAATATAAAGAATAAGGAAAAGAGTGGCATGTGATTAGGTTGGAGAAGTAGGTAAGGGCCATACCTAAATGTGTGGCCTTTCTTTTTTTTTTTAAGAGACCTTTTATTTTTTTTTCCGATTATTAAGAGAAGAATAAAAATATTTTTTAAATGTGATCAGTTTCTCATTTTAAAAATAGGATTCTAACTACAAATTCGATAACAGTTTAGAGCAGAGCCATTAGCATTTACGCAAAACCAGTTAGCAAGTTACTGAAGTAATCAAGTGATGATACTGGCTTGAACGATAATGATCATAATAGTTAGGAGAGAAGTAGAGACTGGTGAATGGAGAGGAGGGATATTCAACAGGAATTCCTTGATGGCTATTGGTGTTCAGTAGAGGAGAGGAGATGTGAAGGATGGCACTGGTTTTTCCAACACGAAGAATGGGAGTCTAGTGATGCTACTTACTGAGAACTAGAGCACACCCCAAAGAAGCAGCTTTGTGGGGGAGATGCCCTGGGTTTGGGATAAGACAAAAGGTTACGTTTTGGTCATGTTGTATTTAGGGTTCAAACTGTTGCAGTGGTTATGTTTAAAAAACAAAAAAAGTAGATGGAGCTCAGGAGACAGATCTAGCCTGGAGGCAGAAATCTCTTTTGGCCAAAACTTGGGAATGAATGAGGTCCCATGGTGGGGGGGGGGGGGGGGACAGAAGAGGAAGGGATGAGATCTTATGGAATCCTAAAAAATGCAAACAGATTTAAGGTACTAGAACCTTGTAAGAGCCCCTCAGTGTATGGAGAAAATGAGTCCCAGGTCTCTGGAGCACCACTGGGCTATGAGTTGTGTCAACAGCCCCAGGAACCCTGGCTGTCGGATCAGTTTGGCAGTTTTATTTCCTTTTTTCCCTTTCATATAGGCATGTGCTGTTTTAGTTATATACCTTAAAATAATTCTCTAGAGACATTAAGCTTTTGATTGAAACATAACTAGTAATGAATTTAAAATTGATAATAACTTTGCAAATTAGCCTCACAATGATCTTTAACAAATCTCTAAGTTCTGTTTTCCTAGTAGAAATTTATTCTTCAAAAGTCAGTGTTAAATATGAAATATAGTATGGATTATTTATCTAATTTGACATTTTAATTTTGAGAAATTACAACTATTCGCTATTTTCATAGAGATGCTTGAGAACAAAAGTCTGAATCTTGACCTTTATTTCATCATTTAAAAAGAAAAATGGGAACACCAATTAGGATGACCGTGTGCCACATTAGAGTATCTGAGCTTAGTTCCTGGCTGTAACTACAGATTCCAGATTCCTGCTAATGCAGACCCTGGGAGAAAACAAGTGATGATTCAGGTAGTAGGGTCCTTGCCACCACCATGGAACACCTGGATTGAGTTCCTGACTCCGGCATCTGGCTTCGAGCCTGGTCCTGGCCTAACCTCAGTCTTTGCAAGCATTTAGGGAATGAATTAGCAGATGGAAGCTCAATCACTCTCTTTTGCTCCCTCTCTGTGTCATTCTTTGTCTCTCTACCTCTCAAATAAATAGAATTTTTAAAAAGTAAATTAACAAAACTGCTGTTATTTTTATTTATATGCCATTGTTTTATAAACTAAAATAAATTATATTCATGAAGAAAATAGTAAGTGATCATATGTTGTTAGAAAATATGTAACTTGTTGATTTTGAAATTTTTCTTTAGCACTGATTTGTTTCTCTAGTCCCTGGAAATGTATGGATTAGGTAGGCAGCCTCACTTACATAGTCAAAGGACAAACAATCTGAAAGTATGTAGAATAAAGAAAGAATCACTGAAAACCAGAAATATCTTGGAAAATGTATCCCTTTCCCCCAAAATTACACCAAAATTATAAGTCAATTGGGCTTAACACATAATCTCTAAAGTACAGTTATCCTGGCCGGCGCCATGGCTCAATAGGCTAATCCTCCGCCTTGCGGTGCCGGCACACTGGGTTCTAGTCCCAGTCGGGGCGCCAGATTCTGTCCCAGTTGCCCCTCTTCCAGGCCAGCTCTCTGCTATGGCCCGGGAGTGCAGTGGAGGATGGCCCAAGTGCTTGGGCCCTGCACCCCATGGGAGACCAGGAGAAGCACCTGGCTCCTGCCTTCAGATCAGCGCGATGTGCCGGCCGCAGCATGCCAGCCACAGCGGCCATTGGAGGGTGAACCAATGGCAAAGGAAGACCTTTCTCTCTGTCTCTCTCTCTCTCTCTCTCTCTCTCACTGTCCACTCTGCCTGTCAAATAAATAAATAAATAAAAATAAAATATAGTTATCCTAAGTATTATTAATAAATCCTTAGGAAGACTAGGAGCCATGTTTGAATATACTTGATTTTTCAATTTATTTGAAAGAAAATAGAGACAGAGAGAAATCTTCTGTCTGCTGGTTCATTCCCTATATGCCTGCAACACATGAATGTGGGCCAGGTGGAAGCCAGGAGCCAAGAATTCAATCCATGTCTCCTACATGGGGACAGGGACACAAGTACCTAAACCATCACCTGCTTCTTCCCAGGGTATTTATTAACAGGAAGCTGCGATCAGAAGTAGAACAGGACTTGAACCTTGTAAGAAGAGAGTCTTTGAAGAGTTTTAACCAGGAGAGAGACATTTCTGTGATGTTAGTAGGTCTCATACCTGTTGAGCCTGAGTTGGCTCCCTGATAGCCTTCTGCTTCTCATAGCCCATCCCACTTATAGTTTGTTTCTGATACTTGTGTTTATTAACTTTTTCACTACTCTGCTTGCATTACCAGATGATGAGTTATTCCTGTGGTTGTATCTTTTTATACCTGTTTTAACTAATGGGTGATTTCAGTGTAGATTTTACCAATTCCTTCTGTCCTATTGTCAGAGAATGTAAGCAAGGATTAAGTGCTAATATTTGTTTTGGCTACAATCTCAGGGCAATGAGAGGAAGGGAAAGGGCCAGAAAACATGGAAAAGCATGAGATCATGTGTTACCAAACTGGCAACTGCTTCATGATAAGCCACAGAGTCATAGTCAGACAGATGTTTCTGGATAGGCTGCAACAGAAACTGCCTCCAAATGACTCACTGGAGGAGGAATGAGAGAGACTTTATTCCTTCAGCTTCTTCCCATCTCTTGGGTTCCAAATGTTCCCCATGGGAAATGATTTTCCTGCACTTAAGATTACATTGCCTGTCCTTTCAGCAGCTGCTTCAGGAAGCGAATCTTAAATCCTAGGATTTAATGTGTCATTGGACTCCAGTTGGCAGAAGAAGACCAAGACTTGAAGTGTGTGCTGTGAGCTTCAGGTGGCAGAACCAAGAAGGCCTCCATGGAGTCAGTCCATCCAACAGCAGCCAGCAGCAAGGCCCAGGAGAGACCTGATAAAGCTGTCCTGGATAAGAACAGTAGATGATAGCAGCCTCAGGGACAGCTTGACAGAGTTCATGTGTGTCCTCATCTTTTGTACTGCTCTGCTTCTCTTCACTTCCACAGCCGTGGATTACCTGTCATTGATTGTGAATATTCCTGCAATTGTGTCTTTGGTTAATGTCTGTCTATTTTATTTTCCTTATTTTCCCCATAGAATCCTACTTTGGCTTCTCAGCTCTGACCAAGCCTGCACTCTGCATTCCACGCCTTAGATCCTCTTTGGTATGAGTTGCCTAAAAACTCAAACCATAGAGAGCTATTCCATTCTCTCCAAGATCTTGGAGCAGTTAGCATTTATTTCTATTTTTTCAAATTATTTTACTTCCTTAATTATATTGTAAGCTTATTGCAGAGAGGTGTCGTGTCTGTAGTGGACCATTTCAAGTTATCATAGCAAAGAACTTTGGATAGGGGGCAAAAGCTCTAAGTTCGTAAGTTGTATAAGCCAAATGAACTCTTTCAGATTCAATGTCCTTATCCATAAAACAGGAATTAAATACCAGGCAGAAAAGTTATGAGCATCAAGTTAGATCACATATATGAAAATTTTGGGGAAAACATAAGTGCTGAATAAATGTAATAGAATATTATTGTAATCAATATAAATATTATAATCAGCATCATGGCATCACAGTATCTGGTAGATAGCAGGACCTTGTGATCTATAACACAAGACTGCACTTTTATAAGTAAAGAATCTGTAGCAGAGAAGCAATTTTAAATTTCATCATGAGAGCAGTGTAGAGGGGAAACTGAGACTTTAAGAGGTTATGGAATGTACCCAAGCTCACGTAGCTAATGTGTGGCATTGCAAGTCTAGGAATGCAGGGGCTATCTGTTTCCAGAGCCCGTGTTTTTGACCACTGTGCTGCAGCCCTTAAGTAGGCCAGCCTCTGAGTCGGGCTTGGACTCCAGGTTCCCAGAATCCAAGTCCAGGAAGCTCCCTGGCAGATTTTTCCATTCCAAGTTGCTAGTGACAGTGTTACATGTAACAGTCAAATTCTCTGCTAGGGGCTTTTCAGGCTAATGTGCCTTAGAGATCTCCCCAGGTTGCCACAAGACTAAATGAGCTTTTAAAAAGACTTTTTAATTACTAATGGAACATATGGTGCACAGTTAAGAAAATGGGGCTTCTGGAGCCATTCTGCCTGGGTTCTGATCCCAGCCTCACCACTGAGCCTGCTGTTGACCTTGGGCAAGTTACTTCACCTCTCAATGAGTTAGGTGCTCCATCTGTTAAAAGGGAGAAAGGATACACCTACATCTTAGGGTTGCTATGATACTTAAATGAACTGGAGTCTGCCTGGCACATAGAAAATTATATATGTTTTTTGTTAAATGACACAGTTTTTGAGTTTACTTTTGCAATACATACTTAATGATAAATCATTACTAATTTAAAAATAAACCAAAGGAAAAGAAGAACACAAACTATCAAGTCTTCCTTTAAAATCAGAACAGCTCCAGGGGCTAGTGTTGTGGTACAGCAGGTTAAATTGTTGCTTTTAACGCATGCATCTCATATCAGAGCACTGGTTCAAGTCCTAGCTGCTATGCTTCCTATCTAGCTCCCTGCTAATGTGCTTGGGAAGGCATCAGAAGATGACCCAAGTACTTGGATCCCTACTACACATGTGAGAGAACAAGATGGAGTTCCTGGTTTCAGCCTGGACTGAAAGCATCCCTGGCTGTTGTGGGCATTTAGGGAATGAATCAGCAGATGGAAGATTATCTCTCTCTCTCCCTCCCTCCCTCACTCCCTCCCTGTCTCTCCCTTCTCTCTCTCTCCTTCTCTCTCTCTCTCCCTTTCCCTCTCTCTTTCTCTCTCCCCTTTTCCCCCTCCCTCCCTCCCTCATGTGTGTGTGTGTATGTGTGTGTATTCACTCTGCCTGTCAAATAAATAAGTAAATATTTTAAAAATAAAAATTAAATCAGCTCTACTGATAGGACTGTAAAATCATCACTTTTCTTTGGAAATGCTCAGTTTTAGGATGTTTTTGTAGAGTTTTGTTCCATGGTAGACCTATTTCACCTGGCTTGGAAAGAGCAGTTCAGTGTGCCTCTCAGAGTGCCTGTGAGTCAGTTTGAAGAATTGCCGAAATTCTCAGCAATGGCTAAAAGGCCATTGACTTGGACTTGAACCTGTTTGTGAGGCTCTTTAGGCAGCAGTGTCCCATTGTGCTCTTTTAGCTCTTTGATGTTGCACAAAAGATTGAAATCCAAGCTAAGTTGAACATAATGAATTAGCTACTTGGTAGGATACCAAGTCTTTTGACTTTTCTTTGGTAATTTTGAATAAAATAACTTCTGAAGTGATTACATAAGGAGAGCAAGCCTTCAGTGCTTTTTAAAAAGTGCTTTTCTTTGTTTAGTTGAATGCATATATGCAGGGGATAAAAAACAACTTCCTGCATTGTTTTGATCATGTATAATATGCAGTCTGCTGGTGATAGAAATTTAACAGATTAAAGAGGATATTTGGCTTTATGGTAATAATATCTTGTTAAATCATCATACTTGAGGGACTTTTGTTTTGCAGAAATCAATTGGTTTTTTAAAATAGCTGTTATCCATGAAATAACTTTTTTGGTATGTGAACATGGGAAGAACCATTTTTTCTTTATCATCCTTGGAAAATATACATTAGTTTAAAGAACAGTTATTAAAAAGGCATTTTATATAAATACAGAAAAACAGCATTGGAGTAGCTTTTGAGTCACTCTTGTCCACTAAATATAAATTGTAATGTTCATATGCTGGGCAAATGTGTCACTAAAAGAAAGTAGGCCTCTATCTAGCTGATGTATTGCTGACTCTGGCTGCTAAGTGGAGCTCATCCAGTCCTCTGCAAATGTGGGTACGGGAAGGATGGGTACTGAGATGCCAAAAATGCCATTCATGCTGCTTCCTAACCAGTCAGCACTACTTATTTGCTATTTCTTCTTCTTCTTCTTTTTTTGTCTTATCCTCCCACTCACTTTACATTATTCGCCTCTCTCTTTTCATGGTTGTGTTGCTCTGGCTCTTAGTTTTCAGAATATCCACTTCATTTCTGGAATGAAATCTTTGGTCAGATTCCCTACTCTTATACAATAAAATAGTATGCCTTGGGAATGACATTTAATTAAAATTCACACTATTCAACTTTAATCCAAAATCTGAGGCTTACTAATTATGAATCATGGAATTTTAATGAGCTATCTAGTTGCTAGAAAACTCTGAGTTCTTTTAAATATATATATAGATAGATAGATAGATAGATACAGATTTATCTTGTAGACTTTGAATTATGTTAACACTGAGATTGTTTTATACAAGCTAGATCAGCACTTCGAAAGAAATCAATCACAACTGTCCTTGATAAAAATTTATGGACCTTTCTAGGCTTTCTGAACTTTGATATAGAAATAAATATTTAATTCAACTTGATTCTTTATCACCATAGAAATTCATTCAAGAAAGTTTGATGAATAACAGAAGAAATTTGTATTCACCAGTCCAAATCTTAATTTATACTCTATTCCTAGCATCTGTATATATGCCTACATTAATACTGTAATTTTCCATGGCAAAAGAGGCTCTTTCAAGACTGAAACTATTAAAACTTTGTATTTTCAATTCCTAAAATATCTCAAACTTATAGCAGTTAAAGTAAATCTTTGATGGTTAATAGCTGAGGTATGAATTTGGCTGTGTAGTAAATGGTTCATATTATACCCAGAGGTGATTTTTACACCTTTATCAAGAGTGTTCTTGAGGCTGAGGGTTTGTGAAAAAGATCCTAGAAGACTGGCAGTTTCGGGCAGATGTGTATCTATACCTCCGGCATCACTGGTTGTAATTTAACTATAAAAATGTTGCAGCCATCTGGGTAGCAAAACGGCTGAGGTCTGCTCTTGCCTGTGATTGTAAGTGTGGAGAAGATTTGTTGGACTTCGTATACACTGGATTTATAAAAAGGAGATATGTCAAGCAGTGACTATATGGCATGCAGCCGGGATGTATCTGCAGCCAACTTCCTGGGGTGGCCTTCCTTGGATATTCAAGTGTAGCGTTCAAGTGTGTTGGAATGCCTGCATGACACACTCCTGCAGGATTGTATGTTGGTGCTGCCTTCAGGTTAAAGCCCTGATTTTCACAGATTAGCTAATCTATAGGAAGAAAGGACATTAAAATCACAACAAAACTGCTTTCTATTAATATGTAGATGTTGTGATTTTTCTTCAGAAAGAGAAACCAAATAACAGCCTCACAGTCACAGAATTTCCTAATACTGGAAGTTACAGCTTTTACGCTAAAGCTTTCTAGCCTTTTCAGACCACTTTAGGATCAATCCTTGAGACCACATAGTCTTCTTGATTTCTGTAAATGTGTGGCTGTATACCTCCAGTTAGAGCTGTTAGAGTTTTTGCTGATTTGCTTGGCATAGCTCCAGCAAAGTAGTCCATTAAAATTCAAATCCTTTCCCAATAATTAAGACAATCAATTTACATTAAACAAGGCACAATTATAATTTTATGTACAATTTAAATTCTATAGAAAATAATCAGTTGTGCAATGAAGGGAGACACTTATTTTGATGCAAAGAGGTGTTTTTTTATAGTCTGCATTAAACAAATCTTTCATATTTTCACAATAGTTCCCTCATTATCTTTGGTGATGTAGGAACAAGTGCGTGTTCATGGCTGCATGTTTGATAAGCAATGAGACTTTCTCTCAGTGTCATTTAAATTAAAAGTGTTGAGATAAACTACTTCTTATATATAAAAAAAGGCAAACAAAGCAGATGCACGCTGATTTGTTGCCTTTGTGCCAGCATTAGTGAAATGAGCATCATTCATTCATCTTGAGCTTTTTGCAATAGACCAGGTACCTATTGCTCTGCCAGGGGTTTGAGTTGGATCCCAAGAAAATCATGCTCAGAGATTTGGGAAGGATGCATAGGGTGGGGGTGAGGTTGCCATGGTTGTGTGCCGCGGTGCTGAAGAGTTCCTGGGAATGCTTCACACCCCCAGCAAGAAGCCTGGAAAGGCAGCCGATCCCCAGGAACTCGCCTGAATCCTCCACTGTTCTCATTTGCAAGCCCATAATGAGACTGGTATTGTCGGTCAGGAAATCTAGAAGGATGGAGAAATATTATTAGGAGAAATATAGTAAAAATAATGACAAGATAGAAAACAAATCCTGTCAGAGCCCGAGAATATATTTGGCTTCCGCTTACTGTGTCTGTCTGTTTCCATAAACGGTCCAGAATCGAAACCGGATGTTTAAAATCTCTCTCCCTTTCACATGCTCTCCTCCCCTCCTGTCTGCCTGCTTCTTCAGTATTAGTAGACTTACTATTTTTATTATTTTTTATTTATATTTCTACTTTTCAATATTTGCCATTTGTGTGGATAACACATTAATTTCTAATGAAATATTTTCAGATTCTTGGAACTCTTGGGATAGCTGAATCATAAAAGAAAACTTGAATTGACATAGACTCCAAGGCAGCATCTAAGCTGGATGTTACACTTGTGTTATTTTCCCCACTCACAAATGGCAAATGGTTATTTTTAAAAGACGATGTGTACTTAGATTTAAATTTCTTATCTTTATATATGCATCTAGCTTGTATAATTTCTGTGCCGAAAAGGAGGTTTTAATTAATAATGGTGATGAAATAAATATAAAAATAATGTGTAAGACAGTGTGCTCCCATAATTTTCTTTTTAGCTAGAAACATATATTTATGAAAAGCCACATTTCTGATAATGCAGTCAGGTGTGATTTAAACTGACTCTTTTTTTTAAATTTTATTTTATTTAATGAACATAAATTTCCAAAGTACAGCTTATGGATTACAATAGCTTCCCCCTCCCCCATAACTTCCCTCCCACCCACAACACTCCCCTCTCCCACTCCCTCTCCCCTTCCATTCACATCAAGATTCATTTTCAATTATCTTTATATACAGAAGATCAATTTAGCATATATTAAGTAAAGATTTCAACATAAACTGACTCTTGAGGTTAACTTTATTTTAGTTCTGTATAGAATTAAAGATCTTAAAGAAGGTGGCACTCATTTCATCAGACAATTTATTTTCTCCAATCTGTAATTGTTTTAATTTTATACTTGTCAAATTAGAATTAATGTTGGAAATTATTTAAACAATTTTATATGGCATGCTATTGTCAAAACCATAGCTTTGTAATTCACTTTGCAACTATAAAGTAAAAAGTTTGTTCCAAAAGCTTTTTGTTTTCAATAGAGTGCACTGCCATTTAAGATGTAACATCATTCTTTAAACTTTATTTATTTATTTACTTATTTATTTATTTCTGAGAAGCAGCGAGACAGAGAGCGCCCATCTGCTGGTTCTCTTGCCAAATGCCTGCAATTGCTTGGGGGCCAGAGCTGAGAGCTGGGAACTCAATCCAGGTCTCCAACCTAGATGGCAGAAACCCAGTAACTTGAGCCATCACCACTACTTCGGGAAATCAATATTAGCAGGAAGCTGGAATCAGGAGCTGAAGTCAGGGATTAAACCACAGTACTTTGATGTGGGTTGCAGGAACCCCAACTGGCATCTTAATAGCTAGGCCAAATGCCCACTCCAAAATGTAACATAGATCTTTTCTCAATGTTCAAATTATAAAGATATCAACTATCAATTTTATGTTGATAGCTTCAATCTTATTATATTATTTACATGACAAGTAACTTTCTATTTTCCTTTCTAATTAAAATTTCTAAAGATTTTACTTTTCTCTAGGAGAGTTACTTATTTTCAACATTAATAGATGAATTTGTCTGTTTTTTTTTTTTTTTTCAAACATTTTCTATCTAGTGTGTTCCTAAAGACCAATAAAATGTTTTAAGGAAGGCTATTTGTGCTTTGAGCCAAATAGCCTAGGGTGGCATTTTGTAGACTCTTGAGACCAGAGATGTTATCTGGTCCTACTTCTTTTGTCATGCACTCTCATCCTCCATCCCCATCCCCAACGCATGCATTGTGGATGAGGAAACTGAGGCTCAAAGAGATGCGATTACACCTCCAAGACTATAGTTCAGCTGATGACTAGGCTCTGTTTTCTGACTTCTGGTCTAGTGATTTTCTGTTATACCCACTCAATAATCTATATGTTCCCAGACGTAGGGAGATGGGTTAGAACTAACAATCAAAAGAAAAATACTAAGTAGACATAAACAATGAAATGCTTAACAGAAGGTGTCTTTTCCAGTACACTTGACACCAGAGTTAGATACTTAATTCAAAGATCAAGAAATCATGACAGAGGAAATTTTTTTATGTGTGGATCACCTGATTTGTAATGTCACATTGTTTTTCCTGCATTAACCACATCCAAATTGCACCTGATGTGAGTCTCTGTAAACCAACTGAGGACATAAAGAGCTTGGAAAGCAGCCTCTGTGCAGACTTCGCTCTTTTAATGACCTTCTCCCCATCAAGTCTTTGACATTTATTTCACACACACCTAATTTGACAGACATTTTTGGTGTGTTTAAAAATTCAGCTTTGTTGAATCTTTTAAATCATCCCATTTTGTTTTCATAGAATCAGCAACTCTTTTTTTTAACCATCATATTTTTGAGTTCACTAAACATTAAATTATGTTTATGTAAGCAGTGTAAACAGGCTTGGGAAAAAAACGCAGCTGACTTGGGAAGGTATATGAGGTATACCACAACTCGGGGGAGCAGAGGTGCCCATTTGTGCTGGAGAGTTGAGCAGTCAGTGTCCACCATATTGGGTGTGCTGTGGACACCACTCAATAGATTTGAAAAGAGAGAGGGTGTGTCCAGGGTAAGTGGCAGTCTACTCAGAGAACCTCTAGGGTCCTTTGGGAGAAACTGCTAGAGTCAGAAAAGTGAAGATGTACAGCAGAAGAAGTGGCTTCATCAGAGTGTCTGCATTGCATTCTCCATGCATAATCTTTCCCTTCGTCCCAGAGAGAAGCCGACCTGGAGGCAGGAGAATGGGAACTTTGTTCTCTACTTGCTTTCTCCATCCCTAGCTTAAGAATGCCAACCCCACCCTACCTAGAAGCAGGGCCAGCAAATCATTCTTACACCATGCACATTCATCACAGCTGTTTGGTGAAAGCAGTGACCACTGTCCAACCAAAGAGTCACCCTCAGATGCAGTTTTGGGTGACCTGCTGCCCAGTTAGGGATGCTTGGGGCTGTAGCCATGATTTCTCAGGAAGCTAATCTGCTCCTGGCTGAAAGTCATGGAAAGTCTGCTTTCTTAGGTTATACTGCTTAAAATGCAAATGGTTTCAAAATGGATCCAATTAAATTCTTGGATTAAGAACCTATACCTGGGGCTGGTGCTGTGGCATAGAGGGTAAAGCCACTGCCTGCAGTGCTGACATCCCATATGAGTGCCGGTTCAAGTCCTGGCTGTTCCACTTCTGATCCAGTTTTCTGCTGTAGCCTCAGAAAGCAGTGGAATATGGCCCAAGTCCTTAGGCCCCTGCACCCGCATAGGAGACCTGGAGGAAGCTCCTGGTTCCTGGCTTCGGAGCTCTGGCTGTTGCTACCATTTGAGGAATGAACCAGCGGATGGAAGACTTCTCTCTCGCTGCCTCTGCCTTTCTGTAACTCTGCCTTTCAAATAAAGAAATAAATCTTAAAAATAAAAAATAAAAAAGAACCTATGCTTGGTTTTTAAAATTATCAGTGCACTAAGTCTCATTCCTAAATAATGAATGAACAACTTTTTCTCTTTCTTGAACTGTCTGAATATAGTCTTTCCACTCTTCATTTTATCTTTTTTTTTTTTTTGCAGAGGGAAGGGGTCTGCACATTCATTTCATTTTCTTTTCTTAATTAGGTCTTAGTATTTATCCAGATTGTTATAGCACACAACTGCCTCACATACACACAGATACACATGCACATGTGCACACACATACACACACAGAGTTCTATGTAGCTGCCTGTTCATTACTTTGCTACACTTGCTGTGCCCAAAGGGGGCATGGGTATGGTGGAGTGTAGCATGATGTTTTAGGTTTTTTAAAGATATTATTTATTTATTTGAGAGGCAGAGTCACAGACTGAGAGACAGAGAAAGGTCTTCCATCCGTTGGTTTGCTCCACAGATAGAAACAGCTGGAGCTGTGCCGATCCGAAGCTAGGAGCCAGGAGCTTCTTCCATGTCTCCCATGTGGGTGCAGGGGTCCAAGGACTTGGGCCATCTGCTTTCTGAGGCCATAGCAGAGAACTGGATCAGAAGAGGAGCAGCTGCAGAACCTGCACTGTGGCATAGTGGATTAAGCCCCCATATGCAGTGCTGGCATCCCATATAGACACTGGTTTTGATTCCTGGCAGGGACCCAACCACTTGGGCCATCTTCCGCTGATTTTCCCAAGTGCTATAACAGGGAGCTGGGTCGAAAGTGGAGCCAGCGTTGCAGGTGTTGGTTTAACCCACTATGCCACAATGCCAATGCCTAGATGTTTAAATCTTCTGACGTAGTGTGTAAGCTATCTACTTTTTGTAGAGTCAGAGTGTATAATGGCATACTAAAACCTTTAGGCATTATTAATATTTTTAAATTTTGAGTTAGCTTTACTTAAAATGTAAATAAAAAATTTGAAAAAAACGTAAAACCTTACAGATAAGTGTGAGAGCATTTATGGCTACGAACTTCTCTGTGGGGCTGTTGCTGGAGACATGTCAGCGACTTAATCATGCAAATGGCCCTGTGTGGCACTGCACAGAGGAGCTGAATAGTCTCTGCCTGGCTTTTTGATCATCTTTCACCCATCCTATCCCTATCTTGGTTTTTATCTTCACTTACAGTCTAGTGTGTGGCAAGATTACCAAGCCCTTGATTTCTTTTTCTTTCTTTTTTTTTTTTTTTTTTTAATTTTTTGACAGGCAGAGTGGACAGTGAGAGAGAGAGACAGAGAGAAAGGTCTTCCTTTGCCGTTGGTTCACCCTCCAATGGCCGCCGCGGCCGGCATGCTGTGGCCAGCGCACCGTGCTGATCCAAAGGCAGGAGCCAGGTGCTTCTCCTGGTCTCCCATGGGGTGCAGGGCCCAAGCACCTGGGCCATCCTCCACTGCACTCCCTGGCCACAGCAGAGAGCTGGCCTGCAAGAGGGGCAACCGGGACAGAATCCGGCGCCCCAACCGGGACTAGAACCCGGTGTGCCGGCGCCGCTAGGCGGAGGATTAGCCTAGTGAGCCGCGGTGCCAGCCCAAGCCCTTGATTTCTGACTCATGCTGCTGCTCCTGGATGTAGTTGTTGCAAACACTCACTCTGCCTAACACTGGGAGCCTACTGTCCACAGGTGAAGCTTCAGCTGTGGTTAATCCAAACTACCAGACTGTGCCAGGAATGGATTTGGATAGAAACCAATCTTGAAGGATTTGGTTTTCTCTGTTACCACTTACCTGACTGTAATAAGCAAAGAGAGTAAACATGGTTTTTCCAGTGGTTCATGGGCTCTTAAAAGATATTGTGGTGGTGGTTGTTATGTTCTTTCTTTTTTTTTTTTTAGTAAATATAAATTTCCAAAGTACAGTTTATGGATTACAATGGCTTTCCCCCCCATAACTTCCCTCCCTCCTGCAACCCTCCCCTCTCCTGCTCCTTCTCCCCTTCCATTCACATCAAGATTCACTTTCAATTATCTTTATATACAGAAGATCAATTTAGTATATATTAATTAAAGATTTCAACAGTTTGCACCCACACAGAACATAAAGTGTAAAATACTGTTTGAGTACTAGTTATAGCATTAATTCACATTGAACAACACATTAAGGACAGAGATCCTACATGAGGAGTAAGTGCACAGTGACTCCTGTTGTTGACTTAACAATTTGACACTCTTGTTTATGGCATCAGTAATCTCCCTAGGCTCTAGTCATGAGTTGCCAAGGCTATGGAAGCCTTTTGAGTTCGTCGACTTCGATCTTATTTAGACCAGGTCATAGTCAAAGTGGAAGTTCTCTCCTCCCTTCAGAGAAAGGTACCTCCTTCTTTGCTGGCCCTTTCTTTTTACTGGGATCTCACTTGCAGAGATCTTTCATTTAGGTTTTTGTTTTTGTTTTTGTTTTTGTTTTTCCAGAGTGTCTTGGCTTTCCATGCCTGAAATACTCTCATGGGCTCTTTCTTCTTGGGAATCATTTCTGAATATAAATAGAAAATGGGTGGTAATTCATTTATTCACTGTTCGTATATACAATCTTAAGATATTTACTGATTTTCAACTGTGAAAAACAGGGACCTCTGGCAAGCTTAGGGATTAAAAAGATGCGTGAGACTTATTCCTTGACCTTGAGAATTCACCACCCAGGTGCTCTTGCCTGAACTTACCAGGTTAGCTGTCATTTCTCCAGCACAGCTTTCCTTAATTACTCTATCTGCATTACTTAACACTTTGAAAGAATAGCTTGACCACACAGATAAGATGTAATAATTATTCTTTGAATGTTAGACTATAAACTCCTTTAGAACAGAAACCATATCCTAGTCATCTTTGTATCTCTTTCATGTAGCACTGTGCCTAGAACTTAGAAGATACTCACTGAATGAGTTTGTAATCCTTTTTATCTTCTTTATTATCATCTTTTATCATTTTTTAAATAAATCTTTTATAGTTTTCCAAAACTGTAGAAGAGCAAAAATGGTACAAAAGCATAACTTGATATGTGACTACAGCTTTTTAAAATATCATACAACTTCTCATCTATATTCTTAATATTTGAGAAACCTACTTAGAATGAGTATATGTGTATCTAATTAGTATTATTAAGAATACATGGAGCTGGCGCTGTGGTGCAGCCGGTAAAGCCACCGCCTACAGTGCCAGCATCCCATATGGATGCTGGTTCTAGTCCCGGCTGCTCCACTTCCTATCCAGCCCTCTGCTATGGTCTGGGAAAGCAGTGTAAGATGGCCCAACTCTTTGGGCTCCTGCACCCATGTGGGAAGATCCGGAGAAAGCTCCTAACTTCTGGCTTCTGATCTATGCAGCTCCGGCCATAGCAGCCAATTAGGGAGTGAACCAGCGGATGGAAGACCTCTCTCTCTCTCTCTCTCTCTCTCTCTGCCTCTGCCTCTCTGTAGCTCTGCCTTTCAAATAAATAAATGAATCTTAAATTTAAAAAAAAACTGTTGAAATCTTTACTTAATGTATACTAAACTGATCTTCTGTATATAAAGAGAATCGAAATGAATCTTGATATGAATGGAAGGGGAGAGGGAGTGGATAAGGGGAGGGTTGCAGGTTGGAGGGACGTTATGGGGGTGAAGCCATTGTAATCAATATTCTGTACTTTGGAAATTTATATTCATTAAATAAAAGTTAAAAAAAAAAAAGAATGTAAAGCTGAAGTTTGTATAATGATATGCATCCCATGGGCATTCAATAAATATTAATCACAACAATTAAATATGCTTTGACCTCATTAAAACTAGAACAGTTCCCTCTGTCTATAAGGCTATTTTACAACTCATGGCATTATTGTTGGTCCCTATTTTTCAAAATTTGTAGATCATGTTTAATGGAGCTGAGGTTATTAGCAGTTATATAAATGACTTTAAATTTACATATTTTATGACAGTCATTTTGAATGAGTTTATATAGTTTCCAAGCTTTTGGTTTCCACATTGGTACTATATATATATATATATAGATATATATTTTTTTTTTGACAGGCAGAGTGGACAGTGAGAGAGAGAGACAGAGAGAAAGGTCTTCCTTTTGCCGTTGGTTCACCCTCCAATGGCCGCCGCGGCCGGCGCGCTGCGGCCAGCGCACCGCGCTGATCCGATGGCAGGAACCAGGAGCCAGGTGCTTTTCCTGGTCTCCCATGGGGTGCAGGGCCCAAGCACCTGGGCCATCCTCCACTGCACTCCCTGGCCACAGCAGAGGGCTGGCCTGGAAGAGGGGCAACCGGGATGGAATCCGGCGCCCCGACCGGGACTAGAACCCGGTGTGCCGGTGCCGCTAGGTGGAGGATTAGCCTAGTGAGCCGCGGCACCGGCCTGGTACAATATATTTTAAAAATAACTGTTAATGTGCAACTTTTGTGACTTTTTTTCTTAATCAACAAAGTTTGGCTTTTTGTATAATGCTAATAGTTTCTTTATCATAAATGAAAGGATAATATAGAATTGAGGCTCAGAAACACTTGTATTCTGTCATGTGGTCAGGCAGAGCAACCCCTGGAAGATGATCCTTGGAAAGAGAATATCATTTCTTGTCCAGACCAAACATACTTAACTTCTAACTTCTGAATCTTTTCTACTTTAAAATAATTACTTTTGTGACCCATGTCTAGAAATGCTTCAGTTTTTCCACTTGGCCCTAACGCATCATGTTAGTGTTGCATTTCATATTTCTTGTTTCTGAATTATGCCACTGTGGTAAGGATTCTCTCCTACTGGGCCTGACTGGATCACAAGAGTACTTGACTCCTTTTGTTTTTTTTGCCTAGAACAGGGAGGCCTATGAGGTAGCAAGTGAAATAGCCCAGGCAGCCCCTTAGCCCTTTTCCCACAGGTCTACAGTCCCATCTTGGGATTCTAGATTTCACTTCAACACAGAGAATAAAGGACTCCAAGAAAAGGCTTGTATGTATTTGGACCTGATCTCTAGACCTCTCACATAAGAACTACTCTTTCAGAATATGGGGTAAAGTAGAGTTAATAAAATCTTGAGCTCTTACTAGATGCCAACATTTCCAAATTTTAGGCTGGTAGTCACTCCCTCTTATTTATATAGTAAATATATCTATTTTCTAGCGCTGTATCATGGCATTTCATGTCCTTCTTCCTCATGAGATTGTGAACCATGCATTATCAGTCTTTAAAGTTCCAGTATATAAATCTGTGTGGAATTAATGAACAATTCTCTAGGAACTACTTTAATTTTATGTAATGGGTTAATGGTAATATAGGCTGATTCTATATATATAACCTCCTATCAGTTCACCAAGCCTTTAGGATTTGAACACAGTCGGCTTTATTAGCTATTTTCCAACCTTTTTAAGCTCCAGTGTAGCTTGGTCCATTCAAAGCAAAACATATATAAAGGAGATTGCATATCTATTACATGATAGGAACTTTGTAGGCTTTGGAGGTATAGAATATGAAACAATGCCTGACTTCTAGGAATCCTTGTTCTGATAGGGAAAAGAGAGGTTTAAAGGTTTTTCTCTGGCCTGTCTTAGAAGAGATATGCATGGTGCTTAGTACACATATGCATGTAGTGACATGATGTCACAATACAGAGGCACATATCCATCCTGGGAGATGCTGAGTAACTTCTTGGAGGAAGGGATGCCAGAATGTAACTTTAGAGGATGCGCAAGGATGCATTCTTGGCAGACTGGAAAGCTAGAAGAAAATTCTGGAGGAGAAAACTGACAAGCTTTGGGGAGGAACTATAATCAGGTAAAAATTCATGGAGTGGGAGATTGGAAACAGTTGCACTGAAGATCAAAATTGCAGGGAGCTGACTATCCTATTGATGTTGGGGAGTCAATGAAGGACTTTAACATGACATAATAGTAGATTTACATTTTGAATGGCTCACTATGGCTACATCATGAAGGATGGACTTCAGGGACCCAGCCAGGGCAACTAGATAGGATGACTATCTAGATAGGATGACTAACTAGATAGGATGACTAACTAGATAGGATGACTAACTAGATAGGATCCTGCCTGGATAAGGATGAAGAGAAGGGGATGGATGGGATGGGTTGGAGGAATATTTAGGTGGTAAAATTGACTAGCGGCTCATGGAATATGAAAGGTGAGGGAAAGAGAGGAATTGAGTTTTTTTTTTTTCTGGTTCTGTTGTACTTTTTTTTTTTTTTTTTTGTCTAATTCCTAGTAGCATTCTTTATATCCCTAGGATTGAAGCTGCAGAGTGCCTGAAGAACCAATGAGTTTAGAATGACATGTGTTAATCATGTCTTCATTTGGTTTAAATTTTTTTAAAAATTTATTTGAGAGGCAAAGAGACAAACAGAAAGAGATAGACAGAGAGCTGCCATCTACTGGTTCACCCCTCAAATGCCCACAACAACAAAGGAGCCAGAAACTCAATTCACGTCTTTCATGTGAGTGGCTGGGACCTTTCTAATTGAGCCAACACTTGCTGTCAAGCAGGGGCACATCAGCAGAAAGTTGGAAGAGGAGGTGGAGCCAGCACTCGGACCCAGGCACTACAATATGGGCTGCTGCATTCCAGCTGGAGGATTACTTCCTAGGCCAAACACTTGCTCTGCAAATCTATGTTTTTATTTTCAAGTCTACATGTCCCTTAATTCTATGATCATTCAAACTAGATTTATGGTTTTTATAAGTATTATTTAAAGTCCCTGGAAATGAATGTCAAGAATGATATCAGAGGAGAGATTGCATCTGACTTACTGACTTTTCTCTCTGACTTCTAACACTGCAATAGCCTTGCATAACCCCTGTGCCAATCATCCTTGCACTGTGATAGTGTTTTTCATTTGTACAGGTCATTATGTAATACACTTTGGCTACAACTAGCAGTGTCCATAGTGCTAAGCAGGAGAGTCCTGCTTTATAGACCCAGCATCTAAACAGATAAAAATACACAGCATAAGAAGCAAAATACATCGGGGCGCCGGATTCTGTCTCGGTTGCCCCTCTTCCAGGCCAGCTCTCTGCTGTGGCCAGGGAGTGTAGTGGAGGATGGCCCAAGTGTTTGGGCCCTGCACCCCATGGGAGACCAGGATAAGTACCTGGCTCCTGCCATCGGATCAGCGCGGTGCGCTGGCCGCAGCGCACCAGCCGCAGCGGCCATTGGAGGGTGAACCAACGGCAAAGGAAGACCTTTCTCTCTGTCTCTCTCTCTCACTGTCCACTCTGCCTGTCAAAAAATAAATAAATAAATAAATAAATAAATAAATAAAAGAAGCACAATACTACAATACTACTTCTATTCAGCCAGTTCTATTAATTATTATTCCAAGCAGTATTGTTATTTTTCAGGGAAGAACACTGAAAATAGTCAAATCAAAATTTTAGATTAAATAATCAAAATACCATCAGGAAATTAGTTATAAATTCCCTCCCATGAATTCTAAAATGTATGAAGGGGTGGGCATTTAGGCTAGCTTAAGATACCACTTAATGTCGAAGAGATTACACAAATAAGACCAGTGTAAGCAAATAATGAAAGATAGAATCAAAAGGGAGAGAATGATCCTGCGGGAGAAGCGGGACACACAGCAGACTCATAGAATGACAAATGCCCAAAACAGTACTCCTGCCTCAGAATCAACCCTTGGAACATTCGGATCTGACTAAAAGGTCCATGAGAGTCTCACAGGCATGGAAAGCCATGACACGGTGGCAAAAAACAATCTAAATGAAACATTCTGGTGAACAAGACCCCAGCAGAAGGATCAGGCCATCAAGGAGAGAGGTGCCTTTCTCTGAAGGGAGGAAGGAACCTCCACTGTGATATGGCCTTGACTAAAGAAATTCAGAGTTGGTGAACTCAAGGGGCCTCCACAGCCTAGACAGCTCATAGCAAGAGTCTCGGGTGATTGCTGACATCATAAATAAGAGTGCCAATTGTTAAATCAACAACAGGAGTCACTGGGTTCATGCTCCCCACGCAGGATCTCTGTCCTTAATGTGTTTTACTATGAAACTCAAAAACAACACTACTAGTCGAACTATACCCTATACCTGGTTCGGTTGTGTGAGTGCAACCTGTTGAAATCCCTGCTTAGTATATACTAAGTTGATCTTCAGTATATGAAGGTAATTGAAAATGAAACGTGATGAAGGGCGGGATGGGAGAGGGAGTGGGTGGGGGAGGGCCACGGGAGGGAGGGAGGTTGTGGGGGGAAGCCACAACAATACAAAAGTTGCATTTTATATTCTACTTAAAACTATTGGTTGAACTCTGTAATTAATACACAATTACTCTTAGGTGTTTAATTAATGCTATAACTAATACTCAAATAGTATTTTGCACTTTGTGTTTCTGTGTGGGAGCAAAATGTGGAGATCTTTACTTAATATACGCTGAATTGATCTTCTGTATATAAAGATAATTGAAAATTAATCTTGATGTCAAGGGGAGGGGGAGAGGGAGGGGGAGAGGGGAGCGTTGTGGGTGGGAGGGAAGTTACGGGGGGGAGGAAGCTATTGTGATCCATGGGCTGTACTTTGGAAATTTATGCTCATTAAAAAATTTAAAAAAAGATACCACTTAAGATGCCCATGTTTCATATCTAAGTACCTGAGTTTGAGTCCTAGCTCCAGCCCCAGTTCCAGACTTCTACTAATGCAGATCCTGGGAGGCAATAATTGATGGCCTAAATAATTGAATTCATGCCATTCATGTGGGAGACTTGAAATGAGTCCCTGGCTTCCTAGTCTAACCCTGGACATTTTAGGCATTTAAGGAGTGAATCAGCAGATGGGAACATGCTCTGTCTGCTAGCTCGCTCTCTCTCTCTCCCCCCATCCCCCTCTCAAAATCAATTGTTGAAAAAACTATTTACTTATAGGACAAAATATAGAAACAGGATGAAAGTAGTATATGAGGAATCTGCAAAAGCTTCATGAAAATGATATGAAAAACTACTGGGTTTCAAACATTTTTTTGCCAAAAAAAGTTATATTAACTTGTTACACTTTAAAGTACTAAGAAGGTTAAGACATCAGTCTGAACAGAGCCCTAAGTGGGCATTTAGCCTGGAAATTAAGATACCCATCTCCCAAATCAGAGTGCCTTGGGTTTGACTCAGACCTAGACTGTCTCTCTCTCTCTCTTAAATTATTTTAGTACAGAGAGTAGAGGGAGGGAGAAAGGAAACAAAAGGGAAGGGAAGGGAGATAGAAAGGGAGGGAGTAGAGAGAGAGAAGGTAGGAAGAAAGATCAAACTACAGACAAGAGCAGAGCTTTTGATATAAATTTTAAACAAATGAGATCAAGACCCTGAAGCATTTATTTGAATAATTGTAGCAGGAGATGAAGCATGGCTTTATTAATACAATCCTGAAGATAAAACACAATCAAATCAATGGCTACCAAGAGGTAGAAGAGGTCCAGTCAAAGCCATATCACACTGGTTAAGAGCAAAGGTCATGATAATTTTTAGGATGCTCAAGATGTTTTGCTTATTGACTTTCTGGAGGGCCAAACACCAATGACCCCTGCTTATTATGAGAATATTTTGACACAGTTACCCAGAGTTTCAGCAGAAAAATGCCTGGGAAAGCTTTACCAGAGAATCCTTCTCCATCATAACAATGCCCCTGCTAATTCCTCTCATCAAAGGCAATTTTTTTTTGACAGGCAGATTGGACAGTGAGAGAGAGAGAGAGACAGAGAAAGCTCTTCCTTTGCCATTGGTTCACCCCCCAATGGCCGCTGCAGCGGGCGCGCTGTGGCCGGTGCACCGCGCTGATCCAAAGCCAGGAGCCAGGTGCTTTTCCTGGTCTCCCATGTGGGTGCAGGGCCCAAGGACTTGGGCCATCCTCCACTGCACTCCCAGGCCACAGCAGAGAGCTGGACAGGAAGAGGAGCAACCGGGACAGAATCCGGTGCCCTGACTGGGACTAGAATCCGGTGTGCCAGCGCCGTAGGCAGAGGATTAGCCTATTGAGCTGCTGTGCTGGCCATCAAAGGCAATTTTTTAAAAAAGATTTATTTATTTGAGAGGCAGAGTTACAGAGAGAGGGAGAGACAGAGAGAGGTCTTCTATCCAGTGGTTCAATCTCTAAATGGCTGCAATGGCTGGAGCTGGGCTGGTCTGAAGCTAGGAGGCAGGAGCTTCTTCTAGATCTCCCACGTGAGTGCAGGGACCCAAATACTTGGGCCATCTTCCATTGTTTTCCCAGGCCATTAGCAGGGAGCCGGATTGGAAGTAGAGCAGTCAGAACTCAACTGGTGCCCATATGGGATGTCAGTGCTGCAGACAGAGGCTTAACCTACTATGCCACATCATCACCCCCATTAAGGGCAATTTTACATGAATTTCTATGGGAAATCATGAGGTTATCTACCTTACAGTCTTGATTTGGTGTTTCTGACTTGTTTTTGTTTCCTAACTATAAAATCTTTATGGGATAACAATTTATCTCTGTGTAATAATGTAAAAGGGACTATATTGACATGGTTAAATTCCCAGGAGACAGTTCTTTTAGGAATGAAATAAATGTCTGGTACTATCATTTGCAAAAGTGCTTTGAATTTGATGGAGCTTATGTTGAGAAATAAAGTTTAGATTTTTTTATTTTTTAATTCCATTTTTCCACGAGCTCTTTGAATATCCATGTATATTATATGATCCTGCTGTGTTACACACATAAAATGTAGATAGATATCTATCTTGTTTACTTCACACAGGTAGACTCAAATTTTTCCCTTGCCAGTTTGTACATAGAACTCA